GGTTACACAGTCTAGGGGTTTGTAACCCACCCTGCAATCAGTTATTCCAGGGTCTCGGAGGGGCGCTACCTGGAAGGGAATGAGCTAAGACAGAAGAAGGAGGCCAAGCAGATTTGTCAAAGCCTCCGTTTATTAGGGCCATGGTTGCTGCTTATATAGGCCCTGCATGAGGACTTGGTGGGCAGGGCACGGGATGTGCGTGGTCCTGGTCACGTAGGCCAGGTTACATTCGGACAGGTAGGCCAGAAGTCACAAGTTGCCACACCTAGTTCCCTGGATAGCTGGAATGTGAGGCGGGTTCCGCTAACAGATTAACAGTTAATTGGGTGAGGGGCAGGTTTTCTCAATAGAACATAATTTTTGGGTGTGGGGTTCTCTGCAGACTCCCTAGGGTGATTCCTGTAATGATTTTTAGGGGGGAAATGGCTCCTGACAACTAAGCAGCTGGGGATTGGATGGGAAAATTTCTTTTCCATTGTATTGTCTTTTGGCGACTTTTATACACATGTGTACGCAAAGAATAATAATTAAAAATAATGAGTCAAAATTAAATTTTTTGTGTGTATCTGTGTGTATGTGTATGGACATGTATGTGTGTGTATAGGTTTGTGCCTGTGCATGCTTGTGTGTGGTGTGTGTGTGCGTGTGTGTATCTACATGTGTGTGCATACAGAGGTCAGGAGTTGGTCCTCTCCCTCCACCAAGTGAATCCTGATGATGCCACTCAGGAGGTCAGGCATGATGATGGCGAGTGTGTTTACCAGCTGAACCATCTCACTGGCCCTGAAAAATCTTTGTTATAAAAACCCACTTATGCAAACCACTTGAGTACTTAGTCACATGGCAAGTGTCTCTCCCTTTCAGGAGACCATTAGTTATTCATAGGCACTGGCTCCTTCTGATCAAGGTCTCTCGGCTACTGTGGGATTGTTTCAAGTTCAAAGATTTCCTTCCTGAATACACACCCACTGAATATATATGTCGTGTGTGTGTGTGTGTGTGTGTGTGTGTGTGTGCGCGCGCACCTGGGTATCCACACAAAGTCATTTCACACAGTCTCTGGGTGCCAGACCCTGTTCAGACCTTACAAGACAGATGGAGTTTCAGAGCTCAGGTTGCTTGGAATCCACAGACACGTGAATTCATGTGCTAATGATCTAGGGCTATCTCGCGCATCAAGCTTGTGCAAAGAGAGGACTTGAGCCAGAGAGGTTTTCTAAGGTTGATGAGAAAGGCGGTGAGGAGGGAAACAGAAGCCAAGTCAAGAGTGTCTGACATGAGCCAGGCAAGATGAGCAGAGCAGGGAAGCTGAGGATGACATGGGGGGTACAGATCTCTCTAATTCAGTAGCTCAGGCTGTGAGTGCATGTGTGTGTGTTTAAACTAAGGAATGTCTTCTTGTGTTCTCAATATTCCATATTGCCTGAAAAATGTAGTTTATCTTTACACAGTCTAAAAGCATACCCACGGATGTGTGGCGACTCTCAGACCCATTAAGCATCTGGGTTTTATACAGTTGGTGCACAAATACGTGTGTGCACTTTTGAATAAAGGGACTCAGACATCTCATCAGTGCTCCCCTGCCCACCCCCCCCATGCACACACACTCAAGACACAGATCCTTCTGCGTAAATGATTATGTTATAAGACCTCTCAGACACATACTCCAGCCATTCCCAAGCACTGGCCCTCAGCAGACAGTGTGAACCCCACTTTGCCCATCTGAATACACTGATTAGGTTTTTCTGGGGCAGACTGTATCTGGTAGATACCGCATTAATCCGTGTAAACCTTGTACTTGATGATATTTAGGGCCACAGAGTTACATGGTACAAACCACTGTTATTTTGTTGTTGTTTCTTAGATGAAGTCTCACATAGCCTAGGCTGGTCTTGAACTTACCATGTACCAAGAATGTGATTGAATTTCTTTCCAAGCCTCCTTCCTCCACGTTCCACGTGATTACAGGTGTGGGCAGACTAGGATTACACCAGATGCCCAAACATTTCCTAGACCTTTTCACGTGTAGTCAAAAGGTCCTGTACAAACAGCTTGTTAGCGTCCTTTAAAAGTCATTGCTAGTGTCCTTTAAAAGTCCCCAGGTAACCCTAAGAAAGAAAACAATGCTGGACGGGTTAGGCCAGACTTTCATTCCCTTCATGTGCAGACAACTCACAGCTTGTTTCTTTGCTGTTTATGGTTTGTTTGAGGGAAGATACTAAACATTTCCTTTGAGGGAGCTGGGTTTTTCTAACATAATGCACACACATAGAAACAGAAAGGAGAATGGCTTATCAGAGACCAACGACAAGAATGAGCATCCAATTAACTGATATGGCTCAGGACTCTGGCCAGTTTGGGTTAGCTCTATCTGCTTTCTGTTTGTGGGTCAAGAGGTGAGCTCTCAGATGCTGCTCCAGTGTCTGCCTGCCTGCTGCCATGCTTCCCACAGTGATGGGGATGTATATGTCAGTGACCAGCCTCGATAAAAATACTTCTTGCCAGGGTAGGGATGTGTGGATTAGAAAAAATAGTAAAGAGGATGAAGATGCTAGTAACAATAATAAAACAAAAAACATAGGATAGTACTGAGAAGGAGTTTCAGTGAATACTGAAATTGCCTGCATTTAATTTTCCATAAAAGGGCCACAAAAGACTTCTATAACATGATCCAAAGGACAACTCACATAGTTAAATGCTTCAATACTTTGAACCATCAAGCCATTAATCCGCCCATTAGCATTCTGTTGTTTAGACCAAGTATCCTGAAGGCAGCCACTCCCCAGGTTAAACCTCCAGTTGCAAAAGAAGGATCAGAAGTAAGCTTGTACGTCCTGACCATCTGCCAGGATGGAGTGGATCTACCTGTATGTGCCTTCTTAATGTCAGAAGAACCAAGTAACCACGCCCATCATCAGGATGTTGCCCTGATTGTCGTCAACAATTCTGAACGAGCTAAAAGTCTCTGACCTTCAGACAAGGTGGAAATAGGCTCACATTTTTGGGCCTCCAAGTATATAGACAAACCCTTCTTTCCATCAGTTGCCTTAGTCATGATGACTTCTGACAGAAATCGAAAAGTAACTAAGGGACACACTGTGGAGGATGACTCAACTACTTTAAATGCAAATGTGAATGCCTGCTAAGAGAAGATATGGTGACATTCTGGTGAAAGATCGTCACAATGGGCTGATGAGGCTGATTCTCTGGAGACGAGTGAGGCTACCTCATCCTACACCCGTGATCTGAATGCTTGTATGCTGTATAGACATACTAAATATGTCATTCTGTACTCATTAGCTTTCGTAAAGAACAAAAATGGGACTGGGATGTAGGTCACGTGGAAGACTGTTTACTCAACATATACAAAGCCCTGTGTTTCATTCATAAATTGTAGGAGGACATTACTCATTCATTTCCTGACTGCCCAGACCCGAAATAATCACACAGAAACTTTATTAATGAAAACACCATTTGACCAATTAGCTGAGGTTTATTAGCTTAGGTGTAACTAACTCTTACATCTTAAATTAACCAATTTCTATGAGGGCTGGAGAGATGGCTCAGAGGTTAAGAACACTGACTGTTCTTTCAGAGGTCCTGAGTTCAATTCCCAGCAACCACATGGTGGCTCACAGCCATCTATAATGAGATCTGGTGCCCTCTTCTGGCCTGTAGGCAGACATGGAAACTAACACTGTATACAAAATAAATAAATAAATATTTAAAAAAATTAACCAATTTCTACTATTCTGTGTGTTCCCACAAGACTGTGGCTTACTGGGTAAATTTCTGGCATGGGTTTCCTTCGGCAGCTACATGGCATCTCCCTGACTCCACCTTCTTTTCTCCTCCATCTTTGCTCGAAATTTCCACATTGCTCTATTCTTCCCTGCCATAGGCCCAAGGCAGATTCTTTATTAACCAATGGTAGTAAAACATATTTACACCATACAGGGGGGAATCCCATATCAAATGATGTAGTGGTACACGTCTGTAACCATAGCACCTATATAGGAAGCAGAGACAGGAGGATCATAAGTACAAGGTCATCCACGGTGCTTAGTGAGTTCAAGGCTAGCTTGAACTACCTAAGACCTTGTCTGGAAAAAAGAGAAGAGTGTTATGACAGATACGACTGCTACACACATCTGTGAAAAGAGCTTCATTTAAAAAGGTACGTGAATTCCAAGGCAACTGAACATAAAGAATGGATTATACCTTAAAGATGCTCCACGAACCATAGATGACTCTGAGTATCTAGGAATCAGAATGTGGGCTATGAGGGTAGTTCAGTGGTAGAATCCATGCTTAGTTTGCTGAGGCCCTGGATTTAATCTCCAGAATTCCTAAGTCAGGGAATGAATAAAGACCAGACCGGCTTTATTACCATCAAGTTAAAGAAAGCAGGAGTTACGTGTACAGAATCTAATTCTGAAAATGATGCTTTCATCACTCTGAGAAGATGCACAGGGAAGATAGAAGGACAAAGACGGGAGAGGGGGACCGATCTCAGTGCATACTTGGTGGAGAACATTTGAAGCAAGGCAGGCACGTGGCTTCAGGACTGAAACAGGAGATTTTTCAACAAGGAGAACAAAGTTTCAGTATGGAGGTGAGAATGACCGTGGTGAGCTCAGAGGACTTGTGCCTGTCCAGCCAGGGTAAGGATGCAGTTAAGTAGTTTGTACAAGGCTTTATCTGTTAGGGAAGTGTGATAAGCAGTTATTTGTTGCCAGGTAACAGATCTATCATGAGCATTGTGGTCACCTGTGTGCATGTCAACAGTCTTGATCCTGTGTTTATGCTTGGGCAAGACTCCGAAGAGCTAACACAAAGCAGCAGCACTCCAAAGCTTAGTAAGCCTGGTAAGCAAGGCAAGCATAATTATAGGGAAAGATGATGTGGGAGTGATTTCTTATTAATAAAGAAACTGCTTTGGCCCATTTTATTGGTTAGAACATAGGTGGGTGGAGTAAACAGAAGAGAATGCTGGGAGAAAGAAGCTGAGTCAGGAGTCGCCATGATTCTCCCACTCCAGACAGACGCAGGTTAAGATCTTTCCTGGTAAGCCAGCTCGTGGAGCTACATAGAATATTAGAAATGGGTTAGATCAATATGTAAGAGCTAACCAATAAGAAACTGGAACAAGCCGGGCCAGGCAGTGTTTAAAAGAATACAGTTTCCGTGTAATTATTTCGGGCATAAACTAGCCATGCAGGCGGCCGGGTGCCGGGGACGCAGCCCCGCTGCTCTTATCACTACAGAAAGAATTAAATTTGATGTTGGGATACATTACAGCCTAATTGGTAGAGTGCTCACCTAACATATAAAAGATCCTGGGTTTGAGCCCTAGTACTGCTTTAAACCAAGAACAGTGGACATGCCTGCAACTCCAGCCTTGAGAAGTGGAGGCAGGAGGATCAGAAATTGTAGCTCCAAAGTCGTCTATAGCTGCATAGTGAGTTTGAGAACAGCCCGAGCTACAAGAGACTTTGTATGGGATAAAGGAGGTCATGTTTCAAGTACTTTACATAAAATTCCTCAAATAAAGTTAACCAAACTTACGGTAACTTATTAAAACCATTGAGCTGAAGGGCAGTCCCACATGAAAACGTTATTAGAAAAATGTGACACCTTGCTAGTTCCAAAGACAATGAATGCCACAATATTTCGAAAAGCAGCTTTAGCCAAAGCTCAAAGACTCTTGTTTGTTGGCAGTGGAGAGTGTGGTTGAGTGGTGGCCCTGAGGTCACCCAAGCGCCAAGCCCCGTTGCTGAACATGCTCTGTGTGGAAATGAGCTGTGAGGAAGCTGCGTGCCATAATGCTCTTAGACACTGCCATCTGCTGGAAGTTTTAGCTAGCACACCCCACACAAGCTTTCTTGTATTTCTTTCTCCTCCTTCCTCTTGCTCTTATTTTGCAGTCCTAGAGATTTAACTCAGGTCCCACCAGGCACCCACAGTCTACAACCCTGCTCTTCACCAGCCTTCTATCATGGTTTAACACCGACCATGAATGGGTAACCATGGTCTTTAATGTGAAGCCTCTTTGATTCTGTAACAGCAAGTAGAGCAGATCTATGGTAATCTGTGAGACAGGAAAAGCAGGACTGGGGCTGAGGAGACTGCCCGGGGGTTAAGAGCACTGGCTGTTCTTCCGGAGGAGCTGGGTTCAATTTCCAGCACCATAGGGTGACTTCCAGCCATCTGTAACTCCAGTGCCAGGGCATCCAATGCCCTTCTCTGGCCTCCACAGGCACCGAGCATGTCCATGCTCATGGTACACAAGCATAAACAAACATCCCTACAAATACAATAAAAATAAAATTTTAAAAAGAAAGACTGGATTTAGGTTTAGCTTTTAAAAATAAAGTAACTTCTTCTTGATTTGATTCATAGAAGAATACAACACATAAAACCATTTTGCTTTCTTCATTTCAGATCTGGTGTGGGAGGTTTTTCTGTATATGTCTTGCTTTTATTGGTTAATGAATAAATCTGGCTTAGCAGAATAAAGCAAGGCGGGAAGTCCAAGCAGATAGAGGAGGAAAGAAGGCAGAGTCAGGGAGATGCCATGTAGCTGCTGCCAGAGGAGACAGATGATGGAACCTTGCCAGTAGGCCGTGGCCTCATAGTGATGCACGAATTAATAGAAAGGGTTGATTTAATATGTAAGGGTTATTTAGAAATATGCATAAGCAAACAGGCCAAGCAATGTTATAATTAATATAGTTTCTAGGTGATTATTTGGGTCTGAGAAGCCAGGAAACGAACGAGCAGCCTCTGCCAACACAGATCTGTTCCTTATAATAAAATTGATCTAGAATTTACTGAAGATCCAGACTATCCTAAAAAGCAAATATTTTGCTTAGGTTAAAATTCAGTTTAGAATTAAGGCATTTTATAAGCACTGCCCTGGATAATGGTAATATATTAAAGGATAAAATGTAAATGTAATAATAAAAATGAACCTGGGCCTGGGCCTCACGTTTTAGTTCAATAATGCTGGCTCGACTACTCCACCTGGCTGACCTTGTTTGTTCTGTTGTTGACAAAGAGGTATCTTCATTCACTGATCTCTCAGCTATAGGCTCAGAATAAAACAATAACTGATTAACATAGCGCCAAAGAAATAGACAAAGCCAACTTGTTATGATACTTTGGGATGGGTGCTAAAAATCAGATCCTGGGCCCTCTCTACACACCAAGCAAGCACTCACCCACTGAGCTCCAAGCCCACCCAGCCATCTGATTCGTAATCATGGTTGATACTCCTTTTTAAATGCTGTATGAAATTCAAGTTATAATGAAAGGATATCTTTTCATACCTTCAAGATGTTCCAGCTACCAGATTTATCCCCCTAAGTTCCGCTGACCTGGTTCTGGATGGGAGGATGGTTTCTGCGTCATCACTTCTTTGGGAGTGTTCCCTGCTCACCATGCCAGGTGCCGTCGGCTTCCCAGTCAGCTGGGAATCACATGTGGAACTATTTTGGGATCTGAGGGACTATTGATTCTTGCCAAGGTGATGAGAATGGGTACAAAATTATATAAGCATCTGCATGACTCAGCAGTATATGTTGCAATGTGCCCCTTGTCTTGTCCTGTTTATTTTAAGGTCACACATTTCTACAATGGGCCTGAAGCACAAAAGTGTGTGTGTGTGTGTGTCCCTGTGTATGAATACCCAGGGCCATATAATACCACTAGCTTGCTGTTTTCCCTGCTCTTTTTCCCTCATTTACAAATTTCTCAAACATTCCTCTCTATAATCTCTTTTTCTGGATCTAGGCACTTACTTCTGTCACTGTTCATCCGGGAAAATAGTGCGTTTGAGGGATCTTTGACAATCTCTGTTGGTCTTCCACTCTATTGTTGCTGGGGCAGCAGACGAAATGAGGGGTTCCACTGCCTTCCGGGTATGTCTTAACCCAGGAAGCTTCACTTCTGTTTCTTATCTGCATCAAAGACAGGCCTTGGAGTCTGGGATCAGAGGGGATGATGTCATTCACAGTGGGACTAAGGTTCTCTCAGGTGAAACCCCCAACCCCAGGCAGTCAACTGTGGATTTAGATTGACCTTGGGGCATCAGATCACCATGGACTGAACTGGACTTGATGCATATCATAAATAACAATATTATTGGGGAAAGCATGCAGAAAGCAATTGCTTCCTTTTCTGTCTGAAGTCTTGCACAGATTTTGGGAAACTTCCTGCCACTCTTTCTCTCAGATATTTACTTTTCTCTCCTTCTCTCTAAACAGAGAACTCGCTATAGTCACAAAAGAGAAATGTAGCTAGAGTCTTAGCCCCAAACAAGCAAAGCTCTGAGAGAAGATGAAACTGGAGTGGTGGATGTGAACTGGTAGGTAGGGATCTTGCTTGGTTTATTGTAAAAATTCACATTTTCTTTTTTATTATGGAGAAGTTGATGTGGGATTTTCCTCTGTATGCTGTGATTACCATTGATTAATAAAGAAACTGCTTTGGGCCTATAGCAGGGTAGAACAGAGCTAGGCAGGGAAAACAAAACTGAATTCTGGGAGAAAGAAGGCAGAGTTAGGAGAAGTCACATAGCCGTGGCCAGGGACAAATGTGCTGGAAACTTGCTGGTAAACTATGATCCTTATGGTTAAATATAAAATAATAGAAATGGGTTAACCAAAGATATAAGACCTAGCTAACAATATGTTTAAGTGATTTAAATCATATATTACTTATGATTTAAATAATACAGTTTCCGAGTGATTATTTTATGGTATGGGCAGCTGGGAACAGCCTCATACAACGGATCAACACACCAACATGGATAACTACATCCACATAAAAACCTGAGAGATCCTGAAAAGGAATTCTAGACTCAAAAAAGCAGAGTTTAACACAGCTTCTTGCTCTATTTGCTAGAAGCAAGCAGAAGCATGGCACCTTTAAGAGAGAGAGGTCTTGTTGTGGGAGGGCATCACTTGTTGGTTTCCAGCCGCTTAGCCCCAAAATAATTGGCTTATTGATACAAATTTAAGGTCAACTTTGTTATATGTATATTTCTGTTCTTGATTAAGGTATTGTGATTGTGCAGCTTATTTAAAAATGTAATATATAATTAATAAATATAGGTTCATCTATAATAGTCAAGCTTGTAGTCATGTTAGTTTTCTAGATATATAGAGATATATTTCAGTTAGGTAGGTATTCTTCAAATCTTTCAGAGACCTTTGGAATATGGCATTTAAAAGGTTTTAAGAACTAATGGCTTTTGATGACAATGAGACACATCTGCTCCTGGCAGCACCAGTCTACTTCAAGAGGAAGATGGGCATCAGAGAGACTCCTTATGAGTTTGCTTCCCATTTGGGCAAGAAATTGCTCTTGCCTGGACTGCTTGATGTTATGCTGTATGAAATGGACATGCAGGACCCACAGATAAATGACTGCTGAACTTGCCTAAAGGTGAGATGATCCTTTGGGGGTTCCTGCTTCATGAAAATGTCTGATAGACATTCTGCAGGGCACAGAAAAAAATGATTGACAAACTGCCAATATATGCAGAACTGTCTTTGAAATTTCCTGCTTTGTGGAAAAGTCTGCTTTTCCATCTTGTTTCTTAGGTCCATTTGACTGGAAATTTTTTTCCCCAACCTTTTACTCTGAACCGATGTCTGTCTTTGAGTTTGTGGTGTGTTTCTTGTATGCAGCAGAATGATGGATTCTATTGATGCATCCTGTAGGCCCAAGATGGATGCCACAATGTTGCAGAATAACTTTGTGTGACTGTCCAGGTAGTGAGATTCTCTGTCAATTCTAGAGTTTTGGAAGTTTCTTAAAATGTATTTCCTGTTTACTTTAAGTAATATTATATCCTTCTGGATTCTGATAGAATTGAAGAATAGATAATTATATTTTTCCTTAGTTATGATAAAAAGATAAAGTAGATATAATTATTGTAACTAATTTTTGCTTGATACCTGTTTTGTTATGTGCAATTTTACTATGTTAAAATTACAACCTTCCTTTTCATTTAGACAGAAAAGGGGAAGTGATGGAGGATTCCCCTCTGTATGCTGTGA